TCTGGATAGAGTGAAATGAGCAGGAGGGAAAATGACTGCAGATAAGGACAAGGTGGGGGCCGTGAGATAGAGGTCACACGTCGCCTCCTGAGGCCAATGAAGACCTTGCTGTCATTCCATTAAAGTTGAAAAATCAGTAGAAAAGTGACATTATGTAACTAAGTTTGAAAATGGACCACTTTGCCTATAATGTAGAAGACAGGCTTTATAAGGGAAGGAAATATAACCATATTATACTCACCATTACAATTTGTGAGAGTAGAAAAATACAGATTAAAATTATGAAAGATAAAAGGTGCATATGGGCCAAACCGGTTTGGCTCAGTGGATAGAGTGTCAGCCTGCGGACTCAAGGGTCCTGGGTTCGATTCTGGTCAAGGGCATGTACCCTGGTAGCCGGCACATCCCCAGTGGGGGGCGTGCAGGAGGCAGCTGATCGATCTCTCTCATGGATGTTTCTAACTCTCTATCCCTCTCCCTTTTTCTCTGTAAAAAATCAATAAAATATATTAGGAAAAAAAATAATTAAATACAATTTTTTTCAAGGGAAGGGGGTCTTTGCCTGATGATGTTTCTCTCTCATCGATGTTTCTAACTCTCTATCCCTCTCCCCTCCTCTCTGTGGAAAAATCAATAAAATATATTAAAAAAAAAAAGGTGCATAGGGAAGAATCCAGGAGTGACTTGAAAGGTGCTAAATTGCCTGACCTAAGCCCTGCTGGTGTTGCTCAGTGGTTGAGTGTTGACCTATGAACCAGGAGGTCATAGTTCAATTCCCAGGACATATGCCTGGGTTGCAGGCTCGATCCCCAGTGGTGGGCGTGCAGCAGGCAGTCAACCAGTGAGTCTGTCTCATTGATGTTTCTCTCTCTCTCTCCCTCTCTATAACCAATAAAAAAAAGAAGAAGAATAGCAAGTTTTAGGCACATGATAACCCTCATTAGTCTATTATGATTACCTGGATAGCAGATGCTGAGACTCCATGTCCTTACTCTCTGTGTATTTGTTCTGTACCCCTGTCAGCCGGTATGCACCCGATCACAATACTCAGTGTTTGCTTCTTTTTGGTGGGGTCCTTGAGTTTCAGAACTTTAGATATGCCTTCATGTTTTATTTTACATGTTTCAAAACACAGTCTCGTTTAGTCTCTTTGAAGAATTTGTAAATGTTCATGGACTGACACATATTTTCAGACTAGACCTTTTATAGCATTTATACAGTCAAATAATTTCTTCGTATTTGTACTTGGATATGTGATAATAATATTGAACTTTGTTTCACAATGCAGTCTAGATTTTCTCCTCATTCTGAACTTCAGTAATATCCCTTATTTCATTAAAAGGCATTTCGCTTACTTAGTGGCTCACTCCACAATCCTTTCGTTCCCAGTAGAAGTATTCTAGATAATCAATAATAAATGTATATCTTAAGGCAAAAAATGCTGTAAGAAAATTGAATGCTGTAAGAAACATCACTCCTGCCCTAGCTGGTTTGGCTTAGTGGATAGAGTATCGGCCTGCGGACTGAAGGGTCCTGGGTTGGATTCCCGTCAAGGGCACATGGCTGAGTTGTGGGCTCAATCCCCAGTAGGCGGCATGCAGGAGGCAGCTGGTCAATGATTCTCTCTCATCATTGATGTTTCTATCTCTCTCTCCCTCTCCCTTCCTCTCTGAAATCAATAAAAATATATTTAAAGAAAAAAAGAAACATCACTCCTGGAGTAATGTTTACTAGTAAGTGCTCACTTTCATTAACCTCTTCCTGCGTCTCCCATTTAGCCCATCAGTGAACCTTGTCTTCTCTTTAAATACAGGTTGAGCAAAAGTATGTTTGCTGTTGTGAGTACATGGAACACAGGTTTACAATTGTATTATTATTTATCAATTAATGCCAGATTTCCCATATAAACACCTGTAAAGCTGCTCTTGCCGCATCCTGTGTATCCTCTGGAATCAATAAAGATACATATTTTTTAAAAAATCAATGGAAAAATATCCTCAGGTGAGGATAAAAAAAAATTAATTCTTACCCAACGGTATTTTTGTATATTATTTCCTGTAGAGGATTCAATCCTTGAATGAAATCTCTACTAATTCTGTAATGAATATCTATGACTTATAGCATAATAAAATCTATTTTTGCCCTGACCGGTTTGCTCGGTGGATGGAGCATCGGCCTGCGGACTCAAGGGCCCCGGGTTCGATTCCAGTCGGGGGCATGTATCTTGGTTGCAGGCGCATCCCCAGTGCGGGGTGTGCAGGAGGTAGCTGGTCGATGTTTCTGTCTCATTGATGTTTCTGGCTCTCCCTGTCCCTTCCTCTGTGGAGAATCAATAAAATGTATTTTTTAAAAATCCATTTTTATATATATACTAGAGGCCCAAGTCATGAATTTGTGCACAAGTGGGGTCCCTCGCCCTGGCCTGTGGGATCAGGCCGAAACCTGCTCTCCGACATCCCCTAAGGGGTCCCACATTTTTAAAG